GCTATTAAATTGCAAGGTAGCTGTAGCTGTTGTAATATAGCAAGTAGCTAGTTTAGAGCAATGTGGTCAAAGGCACCTTTGATGTCTAGGAATACTGTAGATGTAGTGCGCTTTAGTTTTCTTTGCTCTTGGACCTGGTTAAGCAGCAGTATAGAAGCATCTATTGCAGATTTCTGTGCTCTTCCTCCAAGTTGTGAGGGGTGAAGAAGAGCTCCTCTAGCTACTTAATATAGTCTGTTTCTTACTATTAAAGCACAAGTACTCCTAACACGTTTAAGACTTAGCACACTAACACATCTTCTATATTAATAAGGAAGGCTTCCTACTAGCCTTTAGGGACGTGTTCTTTAATATATTTATAAATATTAACTGCTAAAAGGCCTTTAAGGTATTAGGGTTTATTCCTACTAACATGCTAGTAGTGTTAGATTACCTTAAAGTGCAGCTGTACACCCTACTAGCAGTACCTCTACCTAAAACACTGTAGTAATCTAAGACGCTAAGCAATACACACAAGTTTAGGTCTTAATCTAAGCTTGTAAGTAATTCCTTCTAATAATTACTAAGTATAGCATTGTAAAGAAAGTAGGGGAAGGACTAGACTACTTTCTTCCTAGTCTAGAAGTACCTAGACAAATCTAGACTAGCTTTGTCTAAATAGGAAGCGTATTGCCTAACAGAGGTAAGGAAGGGTTATGTAATATAATAGACAAGTTATTATATTAGATACTAGGTAGAGATTCCTAGGCTAGGTACAGAGCAAACAGCAGGGGGAGAGCTAGAGGTATTTATGCTTCCTCTCCTCTGTCTGTATTTCTAAGCAGAACGTTCTAGACTCCTTTAGGTAGGTCTACTTTGTAATCTATGCTTAGTATTGCTGCATATGCAAGCAAGATTATGTAGGTGCATGCGTAGTTGTATACATCAGCATCTTACAGAGTAGGCTACTCTATTTGTAAGCAGAGGGTCTAGAATATTTCTAGTTACTAAAAATAGAGAGCAGCATATCTTAAGAACAAGAGGAGATACAGGCTTTGTAAGCACACCATTCTAATCCTCTTTTTTAGGAGATTATGATGACAATGCTTAGGTAAGCATAGCACTATACCTAAGAAGGAAATATGCTAGAGAAAGATTTTAAGAACAAAGTCTTATAACTTTACAAGTATAAGAGGGGTTTTTAAAGCTTGTAAAAGGGGCTAAAGAGATGCTGCATGAAAATGTCCTTATTAAGGCCTACGTGCAAGAGCTTAAAGAGTAATTAGCAGTAATAATGTCAGATAAGAGCGAGCGGCGAGAGGTCGGATCTGCGCAATCGAGCAGGGACCTGTCGTGCAGCCAATCAGCAGTTGC